AAATTTTAATTTTTAATTAATAGAGACAATTTATAATTGATTTTAAAGTTTGACAGTCCCCAGCGGAGTCGCCAAGCTGTCGTAACCGGTTTTCGTCCGGGCACGAAATATTTATTTGGCGGGAAAATTGATGTGAATAAATGGTTTTGAAAAATAATTTGGGAGTCGCCATCGGCCTTTTGGGTCAGGTAGATCGAATACCTAAAAATTATTTTTTTTAAAGAGTTTTAAGAAAACATCAATTAAAAAAAATTGAACTGATCTGCGTTTTATAACCAAAAAATTCATTCTTTTTAATAGTAAAAAGGGATTCGTGGTCGGTTACGTTTAGGGAAGGATTAGCACCCCTACAACGCCCAAAAATTGGTACTTTTTAATTATAAATTGTCTCTATTATTAAAGTTTAAAAATTCAAAAATATATTTAATTTATAATCCTATTATTTAAAAATTATAAAATATATTTATTTATTTAAAAATATCAGAAAAGAACTTCTAGGTGCTTTAAGACAGTTCTTTTCTTTGATATTGATAAATATTAATTTAAATAATATTGTTTAATTTTAAAATACCAGAACAGGACATCCAATTGTATTAAGACTGTCCTTTTCTTCGATATTAAAATAAGTATTTAGAAATTTAATTACTATTTATTATATATATATTTATGAATACATAAAAATATTTAAAAATATAAACAAATAAAAATACCACTAAAACAATATATTTTAAAAACAGTAAAATAAATAAATGACTAAATTATAATAAAAATAAAATTAAAAATCTAATTCATAATTAATCAAAATTATAAGGATTAAACATGCTATTTCTTTATTTTATAATTTTAGGGACTAAAATAAACTTATCTAAAATTTGGATATTAGAATAAAATAAATTAAAAATATAAACTAGGGATTAAAATATTAATTATTAAAATTAAGGGATTAATTCTGTTATTTATCCTAAATATATTATTTTAATAAAAAGGACTAAAATGAATAAAATTGAAATTCGAAGACTGAATTAAAAATATTATAAAATCAATTTAGTGACTAAAATGTAATGTTTACAAATTAGGAGGACGACGGACGGGGTTTAACTATTGTTTAATTACGCGCATAGTCCTTCCCGAAACGACGTCGTTCGGGAAGGACTATAAAAGGTCCAAACCGGCTGGCCCGAAGGGCCAGTCTTCATTTCTACTTCTCCTCTCTCTCTCTTCTTTGAGAGAAAAAAATTTTCTCTCGCTTCTCTCTAGAACAGAGAGAAGCCAGTCGGCCGGCAGCCGTCAGTCGGCGTTCGTCCGCCGTCAACCACCGCCGCCGGCCACCGTCTTCGGTGGCCTGGAAAAAAAATTTTTACATCTAAATGTAGATCGGACTGTCCTAATGACGGTTCCGATGCTTTTTTCCGTTAAACGGCTCCCAATCGGAGCAAATCTAAAAAGAATACCTTCGGCTTTTCGAAGGTTTTGGTGAGATCCGGCGTTTGGCCTCCTCGGTAAGTCTTTCTCCTCCTTTTTCTTCTGTTTTTGGTTGCTGGATGTTTGACTGAGATCGTTGGTTTAGTAGTTTTTTTTTTCCTTTCTCTGTTTTTTTTTTCCGATTCTGTCTCTGTCTTTTCTTTTTTTTTTCAGGTTGGGGTGGTGGCTTTTATAGCCACCACCGGTGTTGTCATCGGACCGGTCCGAAGAGGGGGTCTCGGTGAGTCACCGGACTACCAGTGGTGACTCACCCCGTAGCCATGGCGTGGACGGCTGGTATTCTAGCTTCTGGAGTCTTCGGTTGGGACGTGGCAGCGGCGGAGGCGGAGAAAGAGTGTCGGCAGCCGTGTGGAAACTGGGGCGGCGCCGCGTGGCCCTAGGGTATCAGACCCTAGGGTTTCCATCTGGAGCCATCTGGACCGTTGGATCTTGCCAGATCCAACGGCAGCAAGCTGAGGTGGCTGGGTAGATTAGGGTTAGGAAACCCTAACTGGAACCCCAAATGTTTAGGATTTTTGGTTTGATCTGGACCGGTTCTGGTTTGTTTGTAACTGGGCCGGTCCAGTTGTAATTGGTCTGTAATTATTTATTTATATATATGTATTTAATATATATTTAATAATAATAATAATAATAATAATAATAATAATAATAATAATAATATGGATAAAAATTAATATCTTCAGCATGTATGTACTTTTTTTTTTTACAAATTAATTAATTTGCGGGTAGTTCGCTTTCAAGCACCATTATCGTCTCCACCTAACTTTGCAAGGTTGACATGTGAGATAAGAGCCACCACCTATGGTTATGATCCTCATGAATACTAGGCACATGAAAAATTACTCACAAATCACATTTAATTGATTTTTTTATAAAAATCAATATTTTATTTATTCATTAACTAATTCAAATTAGATATTTTAGAGATTTATTACGAGAACGATTATTTTAATTCAATTTGGTAAAGTTTTCCAAAAACACTTTTAGTTAAAAAAAACCCGTTTTGATAGTATAATCAATGCCAAACGGGTATAAATGAAAAGAAAATTACGATGGAAACAGTAGTTTTAAATCAACCGCAAAAGCTAAGATTTATAACTTTTTTTAATTTTCAACTTTTCTTTTGAAAGCAAATTATAATTTTTTCCTTACTGATGCATGGGCTTTACTCAATTATATATTTAGATTTTATTTTTATAATTTAATACAAACTTCCTTAAAAATAATATATTACTTTTAATAATTTATTTTAATCATTTAAAAATAAACAAAATTTATGATTTATATATTAAAATATTAATAGTAAGTTATATAAAATATTTTTTTACTATAATTATATTTTTTATTTGTATTTTTTATATTTTTATAGTTTAGATTGATATAATTCATATAATAATATTTTTTTGAATTTATTATAGTTTAAATTGATATGATTCATATATAAGTGCGAATATAATTTAAATTTTATATTTTTAATTTACAATATAATGCCTATAATAGATATTTCATTTTTTCAAACTCACTTTTTAATAGTAATACTATACAATTAGATTTTAAGTTGCTTTTTGGTACAACACTTTTAAAAATTCGTTTCTACAACAGTTTTAAAAGTTATTTTTAAAAAAAATCATATCAATCTGATCCTTAGTAAGTTGATTTAAAGTAAAGTTTGTGTTTTTATATAAATATAATTATTAGTTTATAATACATTAAATATTATATGAGTCGTATTTTTTTCATACGAGATAATCACAAAAGACACGTTAGTCCGCTAATACATACAAGAGTAACAAGACAATCTCGACAATTTGGAAAACTTGAGAAAAATAATTAATATAATTTATAGAAATGTCTGTTCGATGATTTGAAGCTAGGGATGGGCATAGTGCGGGTTTCGCCCAACACGAATTGATTCTAAAATTTTACATTATTCACCTTATTCGATCCGACCCGAAAAATATATACCTTCTATCCGATTAGAACCTGACCTGACTTTTTAAGATAAAATATAAACCGACCCGACCTAAAATAATAAAAAAATATTATTTTTATTCAATAAAAATAATGATTTAATTGAAAAAATATATGGAGGGGTATTATTGTAATTATTTCTAAATATATAAGATAAAATTATATTTTTTCGGGTCGGGTCGAGTTGAGTATTTCTCACCTTAAACCCGAATCTGACCCGACCCGAATATCACCTTAAAAAAAACCGACCTGACCGAAACCCAATTTTTTTAAAAAAACCCGATCCGATTGGGTCGGGTTCAGGTCCCATGCCCAGCCTTATTTGAAGCATTATTTTAATTAAAGTTCAACAAAAGAATATGTATAATTTTAAGAAAATTTGTTCTTAGCCATACTAGCTGTATAATTAAAAGAACAAAGGGTAAGGTCCAATCCTCAAAAACACGGATATCTATTTCAGTGGGCCAAGAAAATCAACATCTAAGCCATTAACGGTGGACAAAATTGCCCCAATAGGTCAGATGTGTTAAAATATTAGCCCATTAAACGTTTTCCAAAATTAATTAGGAATTTACGATATTTATTATAATGACTTGAAACTCATCACGTCAACGTGATAAGTTTTAATAAAATATATTTTTTATTAGTTTGTCATCCGAACATGATAATTTTAAAAAAATTATATTTTATTAGAAATCATCACATCGACATGACGAGTTTAAAGAAAAAAAATATTATTTAGATAAATTTATCATATAAGCGTGACGATTTTACTCTCCACTGTAAAATTTTTCGTAAATCCCAAAATAAAATTCAAGTTAATCCAATGAGTTAATTTTTTTTACCCGCATAACTTATTGGGTCGATTTTCCATTAATGGTGGGATAATGAAATTGCATTGAACATCCCATTTTCTTTATGGCCTTCAAATTAGGCCTGCCCAATGACAATGCAGAAAATTCCTATAAGTGTGTAATATTTTTTTCTTGATCCGGTTAGGAATTATTATAATAAAAAAACTAATTTCCTAGCTATATTTCTATTGGTTGTATTTATATATTTTTTATTAAGTTAAGTTGATTAAAAAGTAATATTTTTTAAATACTTTTAAATTTTTTACAATTAATATTCAATTACTCTTATAGGCTTTGATATTCGAACTCATGACCTCTAAAAATAATAATAACTCATTTAACTATTGTTTTAATTTAATTGTGTGTGAATATATAAAAGCGGATGTATATGATCATGATGGGATTCAATTACATACCCATTATTTTGGAATTTTTTTTATTAAATCTATTTTAATATATCAAGGTGGGTGAAAAAATAAAATAAAAAATCATACCAAATTTTTAAATAAAACATTAGAATTTTGAACTCCCATTTTTTAGTTCCTAAATCCGTCACGGTATATATAACCTGATTCACTCTACAAAACAGAATATTTTTTTCGTATTTAAAAAATTATTATATAGTTACATTTAGATGTAATTATATAGTTAAGATAGGTTTAAACAATCATTTATATAATCTTTTAACAGTCACGGAAAGTTTAGTGGTTCTGGTATAGTTCTTAGCCCTCTCCTATGGCGAGGAACAAAACGAGAGTACCTCCTAGACTTGTTTATTTTCATATTCACACCAGCAACCTTGTGAGCCAATGACTGCCATATCATTTGAACCGCGTCGCCTTCCTTTGATGGATACTGAAACTCGAACAATGGCTCGACTTGTTTCAATCTCTCCCACATTCGGGTCCATTCGTCCTTCGTGATGCTCCGGATTCGGTTTATCTGGAACCCTTTTTTCACGGCGTCTGAAGCTCGGATGAATATGCAGAATTCAGAGTAGTCGAGAACGTCTTCATAAGGGAGTCGAACAGGCGGTTGGCGGGCAATGTTTAGGCAGAACTTGGATGAATGCATACCTTGGCTTGCCTTGCGAATTCCATTATGTTGAACACTCCCATATGAGAAAGGTACATCTTTCTCGTTTTGGAGAAGATAAAATAACTCTTGCCTAGCAAATCCACCCTGCAATCAAGAAAGACATTAATTAAAAACCAAACTAGAAGTATGTGTTCGGAGAATATTAACAAAGAACAGAAGGGGCACTTCATCTTTCCTGTGTATGGCACCTTGGAAGAACAGCAGTGTTTTCCGGCTATCGAAATCTGACGAATCATTAACATAATCTCTGATTAAATGTTTGCAAGGCGCGATCACATCTTTATCGACATTCACTATGTTGATCGGATACCTTTCGAAATCGGAAAATACGAAAATTGCAGGCCAGAGTTGCATCCTGGCATAAAGCATACTATTGGGATGATGAGCCAGAACCACATGATTTCTCCCACCTGAAACTTTCCATTCCTTTTGATTCCTCAAAAACTTGACCAATTTGGCTTGTAATTCCCAGTTCTTGCTCTTCTTTTGAGGGCGAATCACCTTCGAATAACGATTGTAACTCAGAGACGAAAAGAATGGCACAAATATCAAATCACCTTCGAATAACTTCTCATGGTAAGTCATGCAGCTGCTAGAGAGGCTAATTCGTGATTAAATTAGTTAGACTCGAATTAGAATTAAACATAATTTTAAGAAATTTAATTTATTATTATTTAAGTTTTCCATTATCATCTTAATCTCATGAACTTTTAGGATATAAACAGAAAATATAAACAAATCATACTTAATCTCATAAACGTGAAAAAAATGATTTTGTTATATACATATAAGAATGGACCGAAGGGTGAGTGGAGTAATCATTTCTCTAAAAAAAATCAAATTATCATATATATTTTATGTATTTTTTATTAAAAATTTATTTTCGTCCACTTATATTTTATAATTTCATCCCTACTTAAAATTTTAGAAGTATGCTCCTCTAATATAAAATCGGGTATATGTATATATATAACAACAACAACATAACCCTATTCCTATGTACATGTATATATAATTTGTTAAAAGCAATGTGTTTATTACGGGATAAGAGAAAGTTACAATTATTAAAGGAAACATGTCGGTTCTTGTCATTGGACATATAGTAGGACAGAGTCAAATAAATAAGCTAATATCTATACCCCTTAGACATACCTTCATTTTCAACAATGTCTGCCCTCTCATGTTTATTATTTTGTCCACAAATGAGACAATTCCAACAAATCTTTCAAACAAACATTTAGGGAATAAAGGGCCCTCTTCAGTCTTTTTAGACTACTTGTAGTTGAAGTTAGGATTGGTTAAATTTCGATGTGAACTATTACTTGAATTCGATATGAATACAAATGAGATGTTTAAAATTAATATTAATATCATGGGTCTGAGGGAATGATACTCAAATACATGGAAAAAGTCTGGTATATCTGTATTCAACACTCTCAAATCCGAATGGCATAGGTATGATACCACTAGAATTAGATAGTATCCGCGACGGAGACGAATGGCATAGGACCAAAAAGCAATTTTTTAACAAAAAGCATACAAGAGGACAAGACAAACTAAAGGCATAAATCTATCCCAAAGAAAATATCATATGCTTATCATACGAGAAGATGAAGGAAAGAGTCGTAACTCGCAAGTTACTGTGTTTTGCAGAGGAAGTAGCAAATACCACAAAAATTTCAAAAAGTAAGACTTGAAAGAAACAAAGATCAAACACTTCACGTACAAAAACAAAGGATAGATGGTAAAGAATCACCCTTGATATTTTACAAACGAGAATGTAATATTTGAAGTAAAAAAAAATTACCACGTCTACATAACCCTATATTTTAGTCAAAATATGCACTGAGTAACAAATTTCAGACAAGAAAATTGAGTTTGCAAAACTAACTAAAATACATAAAATACCGAAATATTTGTGTTCTTAAACTAACATATAAATAGTTGAATCATCACATTTTAAGTTTAGACAACAAACCATTTTTCAAGTTCAGGCAATGGTATTTCCATGTAACCAAATTACAAATTTAAGAAAGAAAAGATTCCTCACCGACAGGCAAGATAAAGACATGCAGCCTCTACTAGCTCTGATCTGCGCCCCCTAGTGAAATTCCGTTCAAGGCCAATCTTCACAATGCAGATAAGAACATCTCAAAATATTGAGGGGGAAAAGGCAAAAAAATTCCAAGCATTTAAATGAGACTTAGGCAGAATAAAACACACTTCATAAAAGGTCTAGCAATTTCAACAACTTCATCACTATAATCGTCGATATGTAATGAAATCCTCAGGCTGTTCATATTATCAAAAGCTGTTTCACGATGAAATTAAAACCAGAAACAAAACGTTTGCAAGTCAGATTGCAATAAGCGATTTAATGCTAACACTATATTAACCATGCCAACAAACTGAAATAACATGTAAAAGTAAAGTTGAGCCCGTAATAATAAATGTTAAAATGTTTTGATATCAGAGCACCAATGAAGAATGAATTTGGTGAAACGTATTGGTGATCCTTTATCAAAAGTTGAAAACACATAGCTTCTTCCATGGCATATATGCAACTTAATAAAGCATACCTTTATCCAATGTACGTCTACGTGAATCGGAAATATCTTGAACGGACTTTACATAATGAAATTAGCAATAGAAATGCGAGTCAAAAACATGAAAGCTCGTATCAAGTGATCAACAAACAAAACTAAGGGTAATGAAACTTGAACTCCTCAACTCAACACAGTTTACTCAATTAAAACACACCCGACAATGAGGTTAGCAAGACAATCTCTTCTTTTGTTTGATTGCATATTCAGCCAGCCAACCTAATGGTTGGGATACTACAAATAGCTGAAAACAATGGATTTTGCACAAAATTTACAAAACGATACATATCATCTTGATTAGACCTATACCACTTCAATTCCACTAAATTATAGCAGAAAGTAGTCCCAAAATTAAAAGTTACATATAAAGAAAGAAAGATTACCTGGCCAGCTGAATCTTTAATAAATTGAGGTTCGGTTGCATAATTGTATTCTTCCAATACCTTCCCGCAAAAATTATAACACCAACAAAATAAATCAATCAATAAAATAACTAATGAAACAAAGAATCAAATTCTCTTCGGAAAAATAAACACTGTTTATGAGCAAGAAAATCACTTACAGAACACCTTCATTGAGGCGTTCTACAGAAACGTTTCTGGAACTACTAGGACAGAAATCCATCCTCCTTCATTACGAAATTTAAAAAAAAAATAACTCGATTTTTTCCTTCCTTTTGCGAGTAACGAAATGAAGTTCTCCAAATTTCAAATAAGAAACCAAGTTAGTAATAATACAAATAATTTACATCAAAAGAGATTAATATTCATAATAATACTTGGAAGAAAAAAATTAAGAAGAAAATATGAAGATGTCGGGGGTTGAGAAGCTAAGGGGGAAGTGAGTGACTGAGTTGAGAATCAGGGGAACGGTTAAGGGATGGCGTAAGGGTTTAGGCCATAGGAGGAAAGTGATTTTCTTAAGAAAAGGAAGTTACTAAATTTTTCTGAATTTTGGGGCAGTAAGCGCGCGCAAAAAATCTATGCATCGCCATTTTATCGTAATCGAAAGTAATTGTTAAAAAATACTATAAATTATTAATTTAAAATTTTATTTTAAAAATAAGCCCAAAAAAACCCGGTAAGTTTACGTACTTTTAAAAAAAATCAATATAGTTTTCATATTATTTTTTTTAATGTGGTTCACTAACTTTAAAAATAAATTTAATGTAATTTTTTAATTAATATTTTTTTATTTGACCGTTACTAGGGATGGGCATGGGACCTGAACCCGACGGGTTCCGACCCGATCGGATTTTTTAAAAAAATTTAGGTTTGGGTCGGGTTTGGGTTTAGGGTGAAAAAACTCCGATCCGAAAAAATATATAATTTTACCTTATATATTTAGGAATAATTACAATAATACCCTCTCTATATATTATTTTTTCAATTAAGTCACTATTTTTATTGAATAAAAATAAATTATTTTATTATTTCGGGTCGGGTAAAAACTTGTTTTGGTCAGGTCGGGTAAAAACTTGTTTTGGTCAGGTCAGGTCGAGTCTCGGGTAGATGACTCATTATTCTCATTTTCGGGTCGGGTGGACCAAAAACCCGACCCATGCCCATCCCTAACCGTTACAATGATAATGTGATGGTTCATAGTACTTATATGACTGTTTATGATACTGACGTGACAATTAGACTTTCACTTTATCAATCATCGTAGACTGTCATATTAATATAATATATTGTTACTTCAATATCGTGAACTACTACGTCAGTTCCATAATGATTAAACGAAAAAAAAATATTAGTCAAAGAGTTATATTGAATTTATTTTTTGAGTTGAAATGCTACATGAAGACAAAAAATAATACGATGATCACATTAATTTTTTTAAAGTACAAGTATTGGGCAGTTCTACGGTGCGACGCCTTAGTATATGACTAAAATAAGGTGCTATCGGTTTTGTTATTATTTTAAATAATAAATCCGGTAAAAAATGATCGAAAAATCATTATTTCAACCGATTCTAATTACCTATATAGGTAAATGCGGTAAAAAGAATCCGGTAAAAAATGTTGTTTTAGGTAGTGTTTTATCCAAAATATCATTTTTTTGACCGGATTTTTTTACCAAGTTTACCTATATAGGTAATTAGAACCGATCAAAATAATGATGTTTTTGATTATTTTTATCGATTTTATTATCTAAAATAATAACAAAACCGATAACGCCTTACTTTAGTCGTATAACTTTTGTTTCCCACAAGTATCTCTACAGTATTTTTGTCTAAAAATTAAAGTTAGAATAAAATTCTGTAATTTTTTCAGTACTTTTTAAAATAATTTTCTAATTTGTGTAGGGTTGTAGAGTAGTCAGTGTTATTCGGACAAGCATGCTTTTCGCTGGGTTTTTAAAGTAACGGGCAGTATTATGATATCAATTTGTCAAGGATGACAGCAGGCCTTTGGCCGTTGATAAAGCCATCAACCGACCACCTACGAGTCGAACTTTAAATTCTATATTCAGTAGTCATTATTTATTATTTTATTTAATTCTAAACTAAATGAAGAACACAATTCGATACGGTTCATTTATCGTCCCTGGAGCCTTCACGCTCCACTCGCTTTCAAATTTCAATGCGTCCCTTTATAAAATAAACCCCCACCAGCGCCATGTCTCCTCCACTTTCACTCAACGGCTCTCTCCTCAGTCCTCAGTACATTCTCGCTCTTATTGCTTTATTTCCTCAATCTCTCCAAACCCAGATCGGAACTTCTCTCTGTATAGTGTTTGACGAACAAGAATGGCGGCTGAAAATGGCAGCAGGAAGCTGATAGTTGAAATCTGCAACGCCAATAACCTGATGCCGAAAGATGGGCAAGGAACGGCCAGTGCTTACGCCATAGCTGATTTCGATGGGCAAAGAAGGAGAACCAAGACCAAGTTCAGGGATCTGAATCCTGTCTGGGATGAGAAGCTGGAGTTTCTGGTTCATGATGTTGAATCAATGGCGTCGGAGATGTTGGAGATCAATCTGTACAATGATAAGAAAACTGTGAAACGAAGCACTTTTCTCGGGAAAATCAAGTTGTCTGGTAGTCTTTTTGTGAAATCCGGAGCTGAGAGTCTTGTTTATTATCCCTTGGAGAAAAGGAGTGTTTTTTCCCAGGTTAAAGGTGAGATTGGTGTTAAAGTTTATTATGTTGACGAGGATGCGGCTCCCGTGTCGGCGAAGACTGCAGCGGATCAGAAAGAAGAGACAGTGGAGGAGAAGCCCCCGGAGGATGAAAAGCCAGAGGAGGAAAAGAAAGTAGAAGAAGAAAAGACGAAAGAAGAAGTACCCAAAGAAGAAGAGAAACCAAACTCTCCGCCGCCGGAGACTAGTAACCAACAACCACAAGAGACTGCCGCAGATTCAACTCCAGAGGCAAATCCAGCGCCGGCAGAGTTGGAGAACAGATCAGTGGCAATTAAAGAAGAGTCGCCGGCAGAGACAGAAAAAGACAAGGCTGAAACAGGAAAAAGCACTGAACTTATCATCAACGACCTAGAACTCAGATCACTCTCCGGTGATCACAACCGTATCGGGTACGATCTCGTAGACCGTATGCCATTTTTATACGTAAGAGTCGTAAAAGCAAAAGTAGCCAGCAAAGAACTGGCCGGTTGTCCCCTCCATGCCAAGCTAGTCATTGGCACTCACAATATCAAAACAAAAACCCAAATCGACAAAGACTGGGACCAAGTTTTCGCATTCGACAAAGAGGGACTGAGTTCAAGCACTTTAGAAGTATCAGTTTGGATTGAAGAAGAGAAAAACGAAGAACAGAAGGAAGAAGCTTCTTCATGTTTAGGAACGGTGTCGTTTGATTTGCAAGAAGTGCCGAAAAGGGTTCCACCAGATAGTCCGTTAGCTCCTCAATGGTACAGTCTTGAAGAATCCGATAAGTCAGCCGGAAATGATGTGATGATTGCCGTCTGGTTCGGAACTCAGGCCGACGAAGTCTTCCAGGAAGCTTGGCAATCCGATTCGGGTGGGTTGATACCCGAGACCCGAGCTAAGGTTTATCTCTCTCCAAAGCTTTGGTATTTGAGACTAACGGTTATCCAAACCCAAGATTTGCAGCTTGATTTAGGTTCCGAAGCTAAGGTTCGGAGTCCAGAAGTTTATGTCAAGGCTCAGCTTGGCAGTCAACTTTTCAAAACTAGTAGGACTCAAGTCGGGTCGGCATGGAATGAGGATTTGGTATTCGTGGCCGCTGAGCCATTTGAGCCATTTTTGGTGGTCGGCGTTGAAGACGCCAGTAATGGTCAGGCAGTTGGTGAGGCTAAAATCCACTTGTCAACCATCGATAGGAGAACCGACGATAAAACGGCGGTAAAATCAAAGTGGTTCAATTTGAATGGAGATGAAAATAAGCCTTACGCAGGGAGAATCCACGTCAGAGTCTGCTTAGAAGGTGGGTACCACGTGCTTGATGAAGCTGCTCACGTGACTAGCGATGTTCGAGCCACGTCTAAGCAGCTAGCTAAACCTCCCATTGGGTTGCTCGATGTTGGGATTGGAGGGGCGAAAAATTTGTTGCCGGTCAAGACCAAGGATGGTACATGTGGAACCACGGATGCTTACGTGGTGGCCAAATATGGGCCCAAGTGGATCCGTACACGTGCAATTCTCGATCGGTTTAATCCGCAATGGAACGAGCAATATACGTGGGATGTATACGATCCATGTACAGTACTTACCATAGGTGTATTCGATAACGGAAGATATAAGGGTGAGAAAGATCTATGTCTTGGTAAAATTCATATACGGTTATCGACATTGAATACGAATATGGTATATCGAAATTCATATACTCTCACGGTATTGTCACCAAGCGGGGCCAAGAAAATGGGTGAGATTGAATTAGCCGTTAGATTTTGTTGCTCATCATGGCTAAGCCTAATGCAAGCTTATGGGAGCCCAATGTTACCAAGAATGCACCATGTTAGCCCCTTGGGTCCAGTCCAACAGGAAACTCTGCGCCACACGGCTATGCGTATAGTGACGACTAGGTTAGCCAGGTCCGAGCCAGTTCTGGGACAAGAAGTGGTTCAATCCATATTCGACAATGATACACACGTCTGGAGCATGAGGAGGAGCAAGGCAAATTGGTTCAGGGTCGTGAGGTGTTTGTCACGTGTGGCGAGTTTGGCACGTTGGATAGACGAGATTCGCACATGGACCCGCCCTTCGACTACGATTTTGGTTCACGGGTTGCTCGTAGCCATGGTGATATCTCCGCATCTAGTGCTCCCTACTATATTCTTGTACGCTTTCTTAATCCTAGTGTTGAGATCTCGTAGTCGACAAATCCAATTCAATGTGGACTCGAGACTATCCTATGTAGAAGGTGCAAGTCTGGACGAGCTCGACGAAGAATTCGATGAATTTCCAACCACAAGATCATCAGATACCATACGAATACGCTATGATCGTCTACGAGCAGTCGCGGGCCGAGCTCAAACATTGTTGGGTGATTTGGCAGTCCAAGGGGAGCGTTTAGAGTCCTTGTTTAGTTGGAGGGATCCAAGAGCTACTGGCATTTTTGTAGTGTTTTGCCTATTTGCTTCATTGTTTTTCTACCTTGTACCATTCAAGGTGTTTGTGTTAGGGCTAGGATTTTACTACCTGCGACACCCTAGGTTCCGAGGTGACATGCCATCGCTTCCTATCATCTTCTTTCGGCGACTACCGTCGCTTTCCGATCAAATTATGTAGACTCTTTATACACCATTATCTTTCAGAATAATTAAAATGTGATATTACTGTTATTTTACAATTTCAATTATCTTCCTTATAAATGACTGTGAACTGACATGTAATTGACAGATTTTAAAACGAAAGCATACATCATTAGAAAATGGCACGAATCAAATTACATTATCAAATTTCTTTTATCATGAACTACATGACTTGAAGAAATGAAAATCCAATGTGCAAATGCTACATATAAAGGCCAAAACAAATTTCCCCAGAAGTAAAGAGGCCGACGCCGACGGCAAATTATTTGGGTCCTAGATGACCTAGGCCACCGCACTCCGAGCACATAACATTGCCGGTTCCTCCACACCCTGAACTTTGAACTTTAGTTAATCTAGAAGCATCTGTAAGACCCTAATTTATTCACTCTATAGAGGATTCTTCACATGATAAACAGGTTTTAAGGGTCTATATCATACATAACAGATGCAGGAAATTGACAGTATAAAAATACTTTTAGGAACATAAAAATCATTGAAGAAGCATCAACTTTACCTAGGCAGCGGACTTTGACAATGATACCCTGGCTCTCTAATATCGAGTCCACGTATAATCCGCAACCAGAGCAAGTGGAACAAAGGACAACACCTTTGGCTTGACAATCAATGCAACGGGGATTATCTCCAACTATTTTTTCAGCAAGATGTACCCCAACTGGCTCTTCAATTCTTTCCTCGGGAATAGGTTTATCATAACAAAATAGTGATTCAAGACTGCTTCTTCGTCTGTGTGCATCTCCCACTGCTCTTGACTCAGCCTGTGACATCAAAATTCACCCTTTCAAAAATACACCATAGCCAACCTATGTTGAAGGTGTATAATAATTGTAATTACTCAGACAACCTGACAGAAGAATTATCTTAACAGTACCGATATCAAAGCAATCTGATAATGATTTTCAATGAACCTAAACGAGGCACCGTGATAAAAACAAAGTCAACAAGGCTTTCCAAACAATTGAGGATTTGTTTGATAGGTGTGATTGCTACTTGTATTTTGTTACTATTCGCATTTTATTCTTTGTAAATGCTTCTAGAAATCAAAAGAAAACAGTCTAAATAAAATTAACAAAAATACTAAAATTTAGCACCAATTCTAACATAGTTCTATACAAAAGAAAAAAATGATCTTTTCTATCGAATTTCTTAACCATTTAAACATATTGTTTGCTTCTGTATGCAAAGTGTACCTTTGCTTTTCACCTTGTAACTCAAACTCGAGTGTGAGTGTTATATATGGATTAGTCTGACACTGTTTCTATTATTGGAATTAATGAAGGCTTAGAACAAAGGTAGCGGATTAGTGTTGCCTTAGTTTAGGTTTTAACCCATTTGACTTTATTCCTTCTCGTAGCTTGCTATCGTTAACTTCTGTGTATCATTTTCTTCATGTTTCCTCTTTTTAATTTTAGTCGGGTCTTACGTTTCTGTCTATATGCGGAGATTATTATGCAGGGATTTATTAGCAGGGATTACTTCCCATTACAGAAGCGCATATGAAGACTGTTCAAATATGTATTTATTTATTTATTTATTTATTTATACATGCATTGCATTTATCTTTATTTTTAATTTTTTGACTGCCGGAGGTCTTCCACGGAAGCTGCTCTCAACCATGCGTTAGGGGCAACCTACTACCCTATCTCTCCCTTACCCCATTGCATATAGGAATAGGGTTTTATTGTTATTGTTGTCGTCGTCAAAGCTTATGTATTTTGAATAACCTTTGAAAGGGTCATACCTCCAAGGGTACCTAAGTTCGAATATGCCAACATTTATCATGTATATAAAAGAAATCCTTGAAAGTGCCACATCTCCAGAGTACCTATTTCCAAATATGCATCCGATATTTCAAGAAAAATGGAGTAGAAGCAACATAGGTTTTACTCTGAACATAGAAAACAAGCATCAAATGAAAGATCCAGACCGTACAAAAGTTCATGAAAATTTTCACTGGCCAGTCGCTAGTTACACTAAAATGGCCATAGGATAAGTGTTTGTAAAGGTTAATGAAGATTAAATAAGAGCACCATTATACTTGTTAAAGTTTTTCTTAATGCATACAAATGGAGAAATTTAAAGTTCAACCCTTTACAAGTAGAATTAGTTTAAAGAAAAACAAACCAGACAAGGAAAAAAATACTTCGAAAAAAATTTCACATGTAATAGTGGCAGTCCTGTCTTGACAATGATATATTCACTGTAATTCAAATAGCAAAACACTACTGGGTTTTTTGACAGAAAAAAATGGATGAAGTTGAAATTAACAGAAAAGGGTACCCTTTTTACAATTTCTCAATCAAGAAAACTAAGTGAACACATCACATTTAATACGAATACACATAAATATTATGAGAGAAAAGGATAAAAGGAAAGGAATGTAGCTAAACTAACCTCATGTGAAGAAGAAGATGATGAAACACGGCCATTGGAACAAATTGCGCGGATTTTAGAGATCGAATTGTATCCATTGGATCCGAAACCATAAGAAATGTAGTTATTTTTTCCCAATTTTGGTGTTGAATTTACGGGAAATATTATTGGAGATGAAACTTTCATGGCAGACTCCATAATGTCCCAAAATTCAAACAACAAAAAATTATTATTGTTTGTAAGATAACACGGCAAGTTTCTTTGATGAAAACACCATAAGAATTGGGTTTCTTTCTTTCTTTTTTTAAAAAAAGAGAGAGCTTCGAAGAAATCGAAGAAGCGAGCGAGGGTTTCTTTGGTGCGTCTCGTTGCTCACGATGTTTGGTGGGAAAAGAAGCCGGATTTATCCGTTCTTCCTATATGGGTCGGATATCGGGTTAATTAATTAAAGTTTGTTATTGAACAGTCCAACACAATTTGTTTGTCATGTTTTTAAACAAATGTCCAACCATCTAAAATCTGTTTAATAAATTATTTAAACCTAGTTTAAAATTAAACAGAACCTTCTTATGTAAGATTTCATCAAGATGTCAAATCGAACAAAAAAAATACAACTATAACATTAAAAATTTATTGATTCAAATATCAAAATAAATATCAATAGATTAGGTCGGTCGATTAATAGATCGAATATCAGTGATTATATAAAAAATATCAAAATAAATATTAAATTAGAAAATACAAATGTCGTCTTAAAAGTCGTATTCAGATACAAATGATGCATTATCCATTCTCACCAAAGTTTTCATTAGCCCCACAACTTTTTCATAATTATAAATGGGGTATGGTCCAGCAGAATTTGGACTATTCCACATGGTTCACCTTAATGAAGTGGGCTCTTGTCCAACCTTTCGTCCAAATGGAAAACTCATCGGTTCACGTTGAATCAGGACCATACCATTAAAACACGTTTTGTTTAGTTCATATATTTTTTTCTTTGGGCATGTTCAATCATTTATGTCTTATTCGTGTTTGTATGATTAAAAGAACTAATAATCGCAAGACAAAATACACATATATGAATTATCGTATATATTCATTCAACAATCTTTAATAAACAATATCGAAATAGATCTATGATCCATATTCATGAAATCTAGACCATCATCTCATTTTCTATTAACAAGTTGCGGCATCTTTATTAATAATATCGAAAAATAAAATTGTTAAAGATTAAGATAATTAAAAAAATAGATATTAAAATGCATGAACCAAGCTATTTTAATGGTTGAAATGAATCATTATTATTCTTAAATATTTCAGATTCGAGTCTCAAAGACTGCAAAATATTTTAACGTTCATCATTAAATAGAAACGATCATAAAAATGAAACTCAAACTTACACCGATAACACAATCATAAAAACTGACATGGCCCCGTGTTAACGCCGCTGCTTCTACTTGCAACCTTGGTGTTCGACGCTTGCTGCATAATTTGGTTAGTAAGCGCTGAACAATAATTTTCACTTTCAGGTTACAATTTTCCTTACAAAGAAGGACAAGATATAAATCTACAATAGTGAAAGGATCTTTAATTCACAAACCTTGATTGTTAAGTAAAACAAAATCCTTCCACCGGCTTCATTAGGGATGGCAATGGGTCGGGTTTTTGGGCCACACGGCCCGACCCGAGAAGAAAGGGTCTTCTACCCGTGACTCGACCCGACAAAATTAAGGTTTCACCCGATCCGATTCGACCAGAATATATGACTTATAAACCTAACCCGACCTTAAATAATAATAAAAAAATATTTTTATTCAATAAAAACAATGACTTAATTGAAAAAATATATATTTAGAAGGGTATTATTGTAATTATCCCTAAATATATAGGTAAAATTATATATATTTTTCGGGTCAGGTAGGGCGGATTTTTTCCACCCTAAACCCGACCCGAACAATGTATAAAAAAATTCGACCCGACCCGAACCCGTATTTTTTTTTTTTTAAAAAAAAAAACTGACACGATCGAATCTAGTTGGGTCAAAACTCGTCGGGTTCGGGTCGAAACTACGATATGATTACGCGAACAACCCTATCTACTAAAGTAAAATAATTTACTTTTCCTGGTGAGCACTCCATTTGAGAGTTTAAGAGAAGATGGTTTTGATATAAAATACTTCAACAAAATAAAATAATTATTCAATCAAATATTAAAAATTAATCTTAATCTTAAATATTTTATAAATTTAACCCTATCATCGATGTCTTTTGAGAATTTATATAGACAAATTATTTCATAAATACTTGTATTTGAATATTAATTGAGATGTTTATATTAGACTAGTGGATGGATATAAATACATGTACAAATATGGTTCAAGTATTTAGAATTATAGTAGCGACAATTCACATCAATGTCCTCCTCGGTCGATATCTGAGTTTTTAAGTTTTTTCAACTTTGTCGGCTTTAATAGACCTACCAAGTGTTCCCATTTTTCTGTCCGCATATGAAGTATAAAAGTTTAATCTTCCTGCAGTTTTCCTTTTCTTAAACAATATTTGAACTTTTAAATTTTTATCGGTACTTGTGTATATAAACAGATTAGGTCTGTAAACTGCATAATCCTTCGACTTATCTGATTGAACCATGAAAATAATTATTTTATAAAATTTAATGAATTGATCAATTATATCATAGTATCAATTCAATTAAGGGTAAATACACAAATAGTCCCTCAACTATAGGTTATTACTTTATTAAGTCCTTCAACTACTAAAAGTTATAAAATGGTCATCTGACTATGGAATGTTGCTTTGTTAAATCACTCGACTATTAAAAGTTACCAAGCGGTCACCCAACTTTTCATTATGTTCCAAACCAAACTCATCATTTTCTATTAAAAATGGTGGTTGTCTAATATAGACGTTAACATGATGACTATGATATGATAGTCGTTTGAGATTTTGAGATCATATTTTATAATATTACAATCAACATGTTAACGTTCAGCTTATAATATCATCAATATTTTAACAAAAAATGACGAGTTTAGAACATAATGAATAGTTGAGTGATCATTTATATTTTTTAATAGTTGATTGACTCAACAAAGTAACACTCTATTATCGAAGGATCATTTTATAATTTTCAATAGTCGAGAGATTTAATAAAATAGTATCATACAGTCGATGGACCATTTATGTACTTCACCCTTCAATTAAATACTTTACATATAGTATAGATAATGTAGTTTTTTAACAATGACAACAAGATTTCATTAATAATGAAATGAATCAAAATAACAATATGCATAAAATATAGAGAGAAATCTGGAGACAATAGTCACCAAAATATTTATACAAAAAAAATATTAAACCTAAATATACGAATAAAATTAAATCATTCCATAGAGAATGACGACTAACATCATAACTTAATAACCTTCATAAAAATTCACTGTCTGAGACGCTTTACAAAGTGATAAGGGAGTGGTGAGCGAACCAAACAATTTGGTAGGTTGTTTCGCTACACAATTTTGATTACATTGACAAACAACCTTTTTATCAAAAGAGGGGATGTGATTATACGTGACTACCGACAAACTAAACAGAAAATAAATGTCGTGATAATTTTTTTGCAAGAACCCGACGACTACACATGAATGCGAAAAACGTACAAAAACTATAAGGATTGTGTTACAAGAGTAGAGAAAACGCGTGTCGCAAGAATGTATATATAATATTTTTAATTATTCATAGTATAATTATACCGTAGTCCGTAGGTAGGCACAATATGCTGTGGAATATTCTATATTTATGGCCAAAAAAACCCTCTCAACCTACGCATTATTTATAATAATGATTCTTGGCGTCTTCCGCATTTTCTCTCATAAAACAAGCTGGCGGTCGTCCTTGTTTCCCTTTGCTGTTTGATTTATATGATATTTTAGTGGATGAGTATATGACGAATTATCTGTACATAATTTTTATATATTATTAATAAAAATAATAATATATAAATACATATAATTTAAATTTTTATAACGAATCATTATTTCATGTAGTGTTGAATTACGAAATTATATTTAGTTAATATATTAATTGTTAACCATATTTTAATACACGAGTCTAAATAACACATTTATATTTATGAATTAATTGGACTAAATTTTTAAAAAAAGTCAATTGATTTAGTTTTTTTGGGTAACCTAATGTTGAAAAAGTAGATTTTTTTTTTAATTTTTGAGGTACATTTTCAATGGAAAAAGGTGAAGGTTCAAATCATAAAATTATAATTTTATATTATATTTCATAAGATATTTTCAATAATATATTACGTGTTTAAAATGATTGATGATGAATAAGAGATTGGTGTTTAAATTAAATTACTTATGAATTATATCGAGAAAAATAGAAAATTTATATCCCACGTTAGGGATATTACGTAGTTTATCTTTTAAATATTAAACACGTAGTTTATCCTTATAAAAATTACGGATGCAGAAGAAAATTTGTCCGTTTGTCCAAACTTTAAATTTTCTAATATTTTAAGAAAAATATAAAAAAACATTAAAAAGGTTAAACTTAGTTATCAAGATCAATGTTAGGTAATTATTAAAATATCAATGTCAGAATGAAACTCTTGCAAGAATCATGCGTTTGAAATTGGTATCAACGAAAATAATTTTAAATATTGGATTTGGTATATACCGAGCAAATGGGTCGATTGGATAAATATTATTTTATTAATAAATTGATGAAAATTTGTTCTGATTCAATCGTGTGTATCCAATCTTATTTTAAACTGATCCGATTGGATTTGTATCCATCAGGCCAACGAATACGATGCGATGCTTATTATATTTGTTAACGTTCATGATATTTTGTTAGTCAGATTCACATGTAATCTGTCGGGTCATGACATGCCTAAGTAAGTCCCCCCCAATTTATGAAATTCGGTCCCATTTACTCTTTTGCTTATTTTCCACGTTGTGTTGTCATTATCCCAAACTGGGAAATCGGGTTAAAAAATTGAGGGTAAAATACATTCTAGATCAGTCAATTATATACTTGATAATATATGGATTACTTTATTTTTCAACAATTAAAAGTATATCATTCAACTAAAATAATACGATAAATTTATCATTAACAGTTAAAAATGAGATAAAATAATTATACTTTTCCTTAGTTACCGAAAAAAATGAGATAAAATAATGATGTGATATAATATAATGATAATTTTAATTTTTAAAATTTATATATTTGATTAATTTGATCTTAATTTAAAAAATTTAATTGATACTTTGATTCGAATTTCGATTGACTCTTTTAATTAGGTTGATGACATTTTAAATGCAAAAAGTTAAATTTAATTTATTTTTATTAATTTAGAATGATTAAAAATATTATTATATCAATCAAATTAGATGCTTAT